TAGTTTTGATGCAAAAACGCATGATCGCACCGGCTCGCCTGGTGCGTTCCAGCCTTTGTTTTCTTCTATGCTCAAACGCAAGAAATGTGTTTATAAATAAATAAATAAAATATAAATACGGGTCGTGTTTGGTGAACAAATGTAATGTAGTGTGGCGGAAAAGACGCGGACGAAATAAAAATTATGAGGCTAGAAAATTAAAACTCATACGGTATCTTTATCAAGCTCATTGCGCCGACTTTCCACTGCGCTTGGTCCACGATTTTCAGAACCATCAGTGAAAAGCATAATCAGCTTGTGGCCACCGCTACTTGCAATCCATGTTTCATTCCAGGCGTCCGTAAAATTTACTTCATCCTGAAAAAAAAAATTGTTGAACATGAACAACTAAAAAAGCTTTCTTTTCCAAGGTTTGTATTTGGGGGAGTGAGCAACAGCCGACCTTTGCTGCTGGCAGACATGCTACCACTTGGTAACTGCTAACTTTTAGCGCGAATGATGCACAGAGACAGTTTTTATGCGTCTTTGCATCTATGTAATGCAAAAATGCATGTTGTCGAAAAGCTTGTCTGTGTCTGTCTGTATGTGCATTTGTACCGATTTCTCATCTCAAAACCTAGAAAAGCTACAAAGCTGAAACTTTGGTAACAATCCACACGCACGTACGGATCGTCGTCCTCAAAATGAATGCTCTTGTCCATGTCTTTTCCACGTATGGACTCATGAGAGTTTTTTGCGGGTAAGTTGCTAACTCGGAAACCTGAAAGATTAGGAAGCTGAAATTTTAAGGGGTTGTCTCTCGCTCACGTAGAACTTAAAGACTGTAAACTTAGCCCCGAATTGTGCGTGGTTCCTACTTACCGGCCCGCAGAAGTTGTTTGCGGGTAAGTTGCTAACTCAAGAATCTGAAAAGTTAGAAAGCCGGAATTTTAAGAGGATGTTTCCTATTCAGGTAGGATAATAAGTTCAAGCCCATTCCCCATGAATACGTGATTCTCACGCACGGGCCGTGAAAATTTTGGTGGGTAATTTGCTAGTTTGGAAGCTAGCGAAGCTAGAAGGCTGAAATTTTGAGATATTCCTTGTCTACGTACAATCAGACAACTTCAGATTCAGCTTCCAGGTGTGCGCTGTTCACACGAGCGGTAAGATGATAGCTTTGGAACCAAAAAGCTGTAAAGCTGAGAATTTTAAAGGAATATTTCTGACAGTTCTGGTGGCCAGTTTCAATTCTTTTAGCCAAAAGCATTTGTCGGAAAAAACTGCGCCGTTAGCGACAAAAACCCGCGAGGAAACTGCGTAAAAAATGTATCTTTGCACTGACAGTCGGCGCGCTGGTCAATTATTAATTTTTAATCTGACTCTATTTTAGAGCATTTCAAATTAGTCACGACGAGAAGACGCAGTTGTGAAGATTGCAGAATTTGTTTATTCGACAACTATTCAAGAAGTTTTTAAACTGGTCATTTTTCGGGACATTCGGCAATTACTGAACAGGAAAAAATTGCGCAAGTAAAAATTTTTGAAAGAAAAGCCATTGCTGGAAGAAAAGTCATTGCTGGAATTATTTGAACTTTTCAAAGAAAATTTTCCTGGGGACGAGTCACTGAGATTACTGAGCTGATTAT